TACGACATTTAACACCTGCCTTCAATCCCGCCAATGTAAGGTTGCTGTAATCTTGATATGGATGCCTAAAAGCTTGATGTTTCCACTTATAGGTTGATCCTGAGCTTTCAAGAACAGTTATTGTTTCAACCAAATTGGATACAAAAATTCCCCAGTTTGCACGGTCGTCTGATGTGGAGGTTTTCCTTTCTCCACCTGAATGTACACTTGATGGCTTCATATTGGGTGACGCTCCTTTTTTCACGTCTGTGCCATCAGGACGAGTTGGGAGCGGACACAATTCAGTGTATGAATCAAATGATGAGTTCAAACAGGTTTACTTCTAAGATTATGCGTGTTAATCTTGTCTTCTACATAGTTGAAGATAATCTGGTTAATAGTGATGAAGTTTTACTTTTTCACGTCATTGGTGAAATAAGTTATGCAATCAACATCCCTTTGCCTTTATTGTTTAACTTGACCATGTCTTATCGGTGGCAATATCTTTTCATGGCCAGGGTAGGATATCTCATCTATGTAAATATATATATATATATATATATAGTCGGAAAATAATTTAGTTTGAAAGTACTAATGCATCATGAGTATATATTTTCTAGATGCATCAGTCTTCAAGGATTAGCATATAGGTGCATGCATGCATATCTTTTTCATATTGGTAGTATCTAGGTGGCTGTATCATCAAAGGTCATGTAGATTTATCATTAGTTTGCATGCTCTGTTTAAGTATTTGGTTAATAACCTAGCCCCCATATAAGGTTGTTAACATCGAAAAAATAATTGTAACTTGAGGAATCTTACTACTTCCTAAATTTGGGCGTTGTAAGATTTGAACATCTAGTCGTAAAATTGAGAAGTACTTACCTTTTTGAAACAAGATAATTGATAAAGTGTCTAGAAGGTTATGTATTAATTTAAACATGTTTAGCTAGTATTGGACTCTATTGCTGATGCTGCAACCTGTGAATACAATCTAAGGTAATTGGGATAATTGTAATTTGATTAAAACGCGACAAATATTAGCTTGATAAGTTAGAATCAATTCAAAAATAGATTGATAAAATACTACAGGAGATTACCTTATTAAGTAGAATCAATCATTTACTTAACAAAATGGTTGAAAATAACCTCTCAAAGAGCACTCACGATAGCCAATGCTAAAGCAAACTTGAAAACGAAATTAAAAATCCAAATCAAATT